ACCCTCAGAACGCTGTGAAACATCCCAGCAATGCTTTAAAACACAGCCTTCACCACTTCGTGACCCTCTGACACCGAGTCCATTACACAGGAATGTGATGTCTGTCTGTGGGATGTTTGGTCCCGGCTGTTTTGGAGATGCTCGTTAGGGCGCTGTTACCATGGGGACAGAGACAGTCTAATAAAAAATGTCTCCAAAAACGTGTTTTTAAAGGATTCGGCTTGGCAGAAGTATCGTCCAGGGACTTTTTTTTACACTGAATGTGCTTCTGTTTGACTTCCAACTTTCTCTCTTTTTATTTCTTTATTCTTTTTGTGTGCAAAAATAGGGTCAATGGTTCAATTCCCACTCTGCAGTAAACATATTCCAGTGTCTTTTGGGCAAGTTTGGGCAGTACGACTTTCAAAAAATGACAAAGTCAGATTATTGTGACTGATATCACATTTGCATTTTGCACCACAATTCACATTACCATTGAGAAGTATATTTAATCATCATACGTCATTCAAAATGGTATTTAAACACATATTAGCCTTCAATATGAATATTGGACTAGTCCCTTTTGTGCTTTGGATGACATTTGGATTAATTGTTCAGCCCTCCGTAAGATAATTGACCCAAAATTGCTCCCGCAAGTGTGTCTATAGCAGCGGTTTCCAACATTTTGCAACTCAGGGCCCACTTAAGAATCACATTTTTTTTCATGCAACCATAAACAATACGGAGGCTGAATAAAGTTCTGATTGGTCAATTCAGAACATGTGACACGTTGTTAATCCAGTAGAACAGACCGTTGTCAAGGACTGTAATGACCGTTGCTAAGGAGGATCGAGAAAGAGAAAGGAAAAAAATCTTAATAATGAAATGTTTCCACACAAATCATAATTTTTTTTGCAAATTATTTGGCGGCGGCCCACGGGTTGGGAACCGCTGGTCTATGGTATTGATTTACGTCGCTTTTTAATAACTGCATCAGCTAAATGACATGTAATTAATGTGTCTTATCTAATCCTCTGTGTGCAGATCGAGGATGGAGGGAAGGTGGCGCTGTGCGAGAAGCTGAAGGTTGGCGACGAGCTGATCAACATTAATGGATCCGCTCTCTACGGCAGCCGACAGGAAGCATTGATCCTCATCAAGGGGTCGTACCGCATCCTGAAGCTCGCAGTCAGGAGGTGAACACTCCGGAACAATCCCTATTATACTGTTTTTCATCAATATATTACAGGTCTCAGATATATACAAAACATGTCTCTGATTGGCTGAAACACCAAACAGGTCATTGCAGCATTACCCATAATCCCCTCTGTTTCAGCCCTGTTTCAAAAGAGCTGATTCTCTGTCTGTTACTTTAGATGAAAATAAGGAGCCCCTCCCCATGCCCCTCTGAGAGATATTTGGTTAGAAAGAACTCAATGGTGCTCTAGGAGGAGATTCAGGTGATAAGGTGGGGGGGGGGGGTTACCTTGGTTGGTGATTGGCTAATGGTTACACAAGACAACACATCGTTATGACATCATAAAGTGGCCAAAATCTGATCAGCTCATTTTCAGACAGGTTTTTATAAAAATGGATCAGGACAAAAAGAGAGAGAATCTTTGTTCCTGAAACTTTCAGAGTCTCTTTCCACAGAGGGGACACATGTTGATGAAGAGGAGACATGAAGAAGAGGGGACACATGTTGATGTAGAAGAGACATGGAGAAGAGGGGACACATGTTGATGTAGAAGAGACATGAAGAAGAGGGGACACGTGTTGATGTAGAAGAGACATGAAGAAGAGGGGACACATGTTGATGTAGAAGAGACATGAAGAAGAGGGGACACATGTTGATGTAGAAGAGACATGAAGAAGAGGGGACACATGTTGATGTAGAAGAGACATGAAGAAGAGGGGACACATGTTGATGTAGAAGAGACATGAAGAAGAGGGGACACATGTTGATGTAGAAGAGACATGAAGAAGAGGGGACACATGTTGATGTAGAAGAGACATGGAGAAGAGGGGACACATGTTGATGTAGAAGAGACATGAAGAAGAGGGGACACATGTTGATGTAGAAGAGACATGAAGAAGAGGGGACACGTGTTGATGTAGAAGAGACATGAAGAAGAGGGGACACGTGTTGATGTAGAAGAGACATGAAGAAGAGGGGACACGTGTTGATGTAGAAGAGACATGAAGAAGAGGGGACACGTGTTGATGTAGAAGAGACATGAAGAAGAGGGGACACGTGTTGATGTAGAAGAGACATGAAGAAGAGGGGACACGTGTTGATGTAGAAGAGACATGAAGAAGAGGGGACACGTGTTGATGTAGAAGAGACATGAAGAAGAGGGGACATGTGTTGATGTAGAAGAGACATGAAGAAGAGGGGACACATGTTGATGTAGAAGAGACATGAAGAAGATGGGACACATGTTGATGTAGAAGAGACATGAAGAAGAGGGGACACATGTTGATGTAGAAGAGACATGAAGAAGAGGGGACACATGTTGATGTAGAAGAGACATGAAGAAGAGGGGACACATGTTGATGTAGAAGAGACATGAAGAAGTGGATTTTGCATAATAGGTGACCTTTAAAACATTGTTGACACGAACATGAGATACCTGCACGCAATCCTGTTTTCTCCTCATGACTTCAAAGTGAATATTTGAGCGTTATTTCCTCTTCTGACCGATACTCAAAATGTCTTGGCGTTGAATCAGGAAGGAAGGTGAGTTAGGAAAGAGAAGGAAGTGACTTTTCCTGGTCCTAAGGAATCTGCTGGGCTGTCATGCAAACACGTATCAAGGAAGGAAGTGACCTTTGACCTTCAGGGTGTCAGAAGGGAAGCAGATAGAGTCGGTAGGAGGGGAAGTCTGGGATCGTGTTTGTGTTAGAAATCATCAGGAGAAGCATTTTGTATCAAAGGAGTCAACAAGATGATCAATGATTATGGGTAAAAGAACACCCGACAGGCTGATCAGGATCCTGACGCGAAGCATGCAGTTTGCTTTTCAGCCAAACTGTATACAGTTAAATCGAACGGACTTCTTTGTGCAGATGTGAGCGTCCTTACAACCATCAATAAGTGCTTGCAAGGGTGTAACTTTGGTTTGAGAAGTGGGGGGGACACAAAACAGGGGGTCCTCCGCAATGAAACATTCTCGATTTAATTCCATTTCCTGCCTTTCTACAAATATATTAGGGACTATAGTGTTAACAAATCCAAGAAAAATGTGTAGTGTATATAATGAGTGTGCACACTTATCTAGTATCCTATCCATGTGAACCTGTTTTACGACAGGAGAGAGCTCTCCCTCTCCTTATTGTTGAAACAGCTTCTAATCTCCGTTAGCTCCGGGCTAGCACCAGATGCTAACAACAACCCACGTAACTCTCTCAGTCTCTCTCTCAGTCTCTCTCTCAGTCTCTCAGTCTCTCTCTCTGTCTCTCTCTCTATTTCTCAGTCTCTCTCTCAGTCTCTCTCTCTGTCTCTCTGTCTCTCTCTCTCTATATATTTGTCTGTCTCTCTCTCAGTCTCTCAAAGTCCGACAGGAGAGAGCTCTCCCTCTCCTTATTGTTGAAACAGCTACTAATCTCCGTTAGCTCCGAGCTAGCACCAAATGCTAACAACAACCCCCTCTCTCTCTCTCTCTTTCTATCTCTCTCTCACAAGATGCGCTCGTGCCACACACACACAGACGTTCCTCCGTGACGATGACCGCTTGCGTAAAAATAAATAAACACATTTAAAAAGTGGGGGGGACACAAATGGGATTTTGAAAAGTGGGGGGGACATGTCCCCCCTGTCCCCAGTGGAAATGACGCCCATGAGTGCTTGACAGCGGTCTGTCTGTTCTGGATTAACAACGTGTCACGTGTTCTGAATTGACCAATCAGAATAGAGTATTCAACTAAGTAATAAGGTTAGAAAACCCTCACACAGGATCCTTTTTATTTGTATTACAATAACATGAAGCTAATGACTTTTGGAAACCTGAAAAGTATTTCATTTTGAACATTTGGCACAATTTAAGGGTGCAAATACTTAGTAATAGTCTTGATTGTTAGCATCTGCAGTACACATATTTATTGCCATTCAATGTATGCAAATGTAAATGTAGGCGCTTATCGGAGTCTTTTTTCGTTAAGAAAAGCTCATAAACCTCAGTAAAGGTGGGAGCAATCAAACCGCTGAACATGACTTAAAAAAACTTGCATACTCAAGTGTCTCTTTTCACTTTAAGACCACCTTCATTTGATCCATTTCATATAAGAATAGGAGAAGCTTTAATGTTCATTTGCAGCCGCCTGATGTTAAGTGGGACAGTTCCTTGTGTCTGTTTACACACTGTTCTGTTTAATTACGTCTTAATAATCTGAATTAACTATCATTTATTCTCGACCCTTCTCCTCCCTTGTGTTGTTGCCACTTAGTGGATGAAGGTGGAAATGCAGCACATGCTCAAAAAGGGTCTGCAGTTTGAAGCTCTGTTTTACTTTGCAAGGAAAGAAAACAATATATTTTGTTAGTTCTCTCAGCTTCTCTGATGTTGATACTTTCATGAAGTTATAACTGGACTCAGATTTGAAGCTGGTGTGTAGATCTTACTGTTGGGAGAAGGGTTTTGGTTTCAGACAGCTGTTTGGCAGCAACACGCCTTCTTCTGTCTTCAAAGCACATTCAGCAGTCAGAGCGCTTTCTGCTCCTGTTTCTGCACCCTGTCTAATGCTGTTAGACACACACACACACACACACACACACACACACACACACACACACACACACACACAGGTTCATACACACTGACTCGTAGATGGACACACATAGATTGCTTAAGGAATGCATCTGGTCAAGAGCATGCCACCCAGTTAATTCCTGTGTGTGTGTGTGTGTGTGTGTGTGTGTGTGTGTGTGTGTGTGTGTGTGTGTGTGTGTGTGTGTGTGTGTGTGTGTGTGTGTGTGTGTGTGTGTGTGTGTGTGTGTGTGTGTGTGTGTGTGTTGTGTGTGTGTGTGTGTGTGTGTGTGTGTGTGTGTGTGTGTGTGTGTGTGTGTGTGTGTGTGTGTGTGTGTGTGTGGTGTGTGTGTGTGTGGTGTGTGTGTGTGTGTGTGTGTGTGTGTGTGTGTGTGTGTGTGTGTGTGTGTGTGGTGTGTGTGTGTGTGTGTGGTGTGTGTGTGTGTGTGGGGGGGTGTGTGTGTGTATGTGCTGCATGTCTGGTATGTGCTGCATGTCTGGCTCTCTGGGGTTTTCCCACTCCAGTGTGTGTGTGTGTCCATGTGTTCTCCACATTTTAAAGTAACAGTTTTAAATTCGGACAAAATTATTATGTTTTTTTAATCAATATACAGATTATTTTGTCAGAATAATTGTTTTCTATTTGCTTTAAAAGACATACTTAAGCAATGAATGGATTCTAAGAGAGACTGAAAACACCACTTTTATAACAGATTTTCTTTATTAAGCACTTAATACAAGTAATACAAGTTGTGTGTGTGTGTGTGTGTGTGTGTGTGTGTGTGTGTGTGTCACTCTCTGTATGCCCGTGTAGAGCTGGTGTTTTTATTTTGGCAGGACCCCTCTTACCACTGCCAACCCACATGTGAATTAAACTCACTTTGATTGACAGGTGACTGACACTAATAGCCAATCACGGCTGCAGTTTTTTGGGCGGAACAACGTTGTACTTTGACCCCTGCCAATCACGTCGCAGCCTCTGCCAGCCTACGGTCATTACTGTAGGAACATGGAAACACACACACACACACACACACACACACACACACACAGGTCGCTGAGGGGTGATGAAATGCACACTTTGCACCCTTGGCTCTTGTGTAGTTGTAACAGTGGGAAAGGGCCCTTTAGTCAGAAGCCAACACTTGTTACCACCTCTTTAATAACACAAGGGGACTGTTGGTGCAGTGATGGCATGTGAATGGATGTTTCTGTCCTGACTTTGTGGGTTATTCTTTGTTAATAGTGCAGAAAAAACACGACCTGGTGTGTTTGACGGAGGCTGAAATGAGCGAATTGGCTTAAAAAAAAACTCACCAAAAGGATTTTTTATTAGAAACAGCATTACCACAAAATAAAAGTGCCTTTTTTTGTCATTCATTCATAAAACAACATCTCAGCAGGCAAACAAGTTGAGCTAGACTTACGTTGTAATCAAGACAGTTAAGCCA